TGCCCTGCTGGGTAACGAACTCATGACCTTGGCTCTGATACCAATTGTTGGATCGAACGCTTACCACTAGGCTAAAAGCTATAGCTGATAGTTAGGGCGCAACTCTTTCTACTTAAGAGCGTAGCAGCCCAAGCGCCATGATTCGACAGTGACTTGGCCCACCTAGCCTCCGTCACGGGACAATTGATGCAACCCGCAACAATTAATTTTAATAATGACATGTTTGTTTACCAGCGTAAAGTTACAAAACCAAAACCTTGCTGTTGACTGAAGCATTTCTGCGCTAAATGGACTTTGTGTATTTATTGTTAAAACCATCAACATGAAAATTCTGAATTTATTAAAGATAAATACTTAGGATCTTTTAAGGCTTGTGTTAGGAACCAAGAATTAAGAAATAGCAAGAAAAGAAAGATTATATTGACTAGAATGAAAATGAACAAGAGATTTAGAGAAATCTCTCCTCCAAGGGTTTCCTCTTCATAAAGGATTTCTCCTTTCACAAAGAACTAACATTCAATTTACAAATGACAACTTCTCGATCCTGTCTCTCCCCTACAGTCTCCCTATTTATAACAAACTAGCTAGTATTCTAACCAACTCTCCCGTTCCTGCAGTCCTAACAAATAACAATACCACCCTTTCTAAGAAACAACACTGTCCTCAAGGTTGAAATCCTAAAAAAAAAAAAGAAATTTCTTGAGCACTACAAGTGTTGAAAAATATCCATTCTGTTCCTCTATCTTTTATCTCCATCTGAATCAATTTGTGGAAGGCACACCATTGTTATCACAAATAGGATGGTTGTCTGCCCATAACGACCCATTAACCACCACCTGTAAACTGGTGTTCGATGGCATCAGTTGTGGAAGAGGCATAAGTGGGTACTGTATACTTTAGAGAATTGGGCCAATGGACCCAACGTTTTAAGTAGTCTTTTTTTTTTTCATCAAGTCTGTTAGGCCTTTTCTTGAAATAAGTTTAACTTTTAATTGTTTTTGAACTTAGTGTAGCATATAATGTACTAAATGTAATAACAAAAAATAAAATAATAATAATAATAATAAAGAAATATAATAAACTTTGTAAAACATAACACTAACATATATATAGTAAACTAAATAATAGTAAATTCGAAAACTAAATAAAACGTAACATAATTATAAAATTTAATTCTATTAATCTATTATAAAATTCTGATTATGAACTTTTAGTTTAAATTTGTTTAATATTATGTTTTATTGATTATTTTCTTTATCTATTTTATTTTTTTATTTATATGTATTATAAGTATTTTAATATGGATGTTTTGTCTTGACCAAAATTAGAGTAGAACTGAGTTGGATGAGAAAGTGAAATTATGATAAGTATCTTCTTATTAAAATTTAGAAACTCTTCATTTTTTATTAGGTGGAAATAGTAATTATAATTGGTTATGAGAAAGGAAATCGAGAGAAGAGATAAAAATTTAAAATGTAAATCAGTAAAAAAATAAAAATTTAAACCTTTTATCTATAGAATTGTTTTAGTTTCTCTTCAATTGAATAAAGAGAAAAGTATTATCATCCCTATTTTTTTATCCCTTACCATAAGAAAATAGAATATTATAAAGCATAGCCCAAATCTTGAGCTAAAGTGCGGGTTTTGTGGCTAAGCGACGTTGCATTCTGACAAGAAAGATATGGCCACTGAAAACAGATACGATTAGAATTTTTGTGAGAGAAAGAGACTCTTTTCTTTTTTTATTATTTACAAATAATGGAGATATAAATGAATAAATCTATATTAATACATACTTTTAGTGAAAATCTTACGTTAAATCTTATCGGTATATGAGAATCTTTTTAATCCACGACGATTAAAATATTACGAGTTGAATTAGTTCTGTCTCCATGTATTTACAAAAAATGTTAATAAACACGTTTGATAGCTAGGATAATTTTTTAATATATACAAAGTTGTAAATATAATATATTATTATTGTAAATTCATCATATCTATCTTAATAATTTAGAGAAGTATTATATTAATTATAAAAGACAATCTTAACATCAATATTTTTAATTATATAATATGTGTTCTTTTATTATATAATATACAAGATTTAAAAAATAATAAAAAAATTTATGATTAACTAACAATGACGCTACTTAATTTTTTGGCAAAACACCTAATTTGGTCCCTTATAATAATTAATAGTTTCAATTTCGTCCCTCTATAATTTTTTGTTTCAATTTGGTCCCTAATAATTAAAAAAGTGTCAATGTGAGACTTTCCATCCAAATTTCACAAACGGTGTTAAATGTAGATGACGTACATAACTTAATATGGTTTCAGAACGGGCCGTTCCAGGTCATTAAAAAAAAGGGGTGAGGAGGCATGCCACCTATGCATCTACGTGACATCCACGTCATCACATTTAACACCGTTTGTGAAATTTAGACATAAAGTCTGAAATTGACATTTTTTAAATTATTGGGGACCAAATTGAAAAAAAAAATTATAGAAGAATGAAATTGAAACTATTAATTATTATAAGGGATCAAATTAAGTGTTTTGCCTAATTTTTTGTTGTTGTCAATTTACTTGATCACATCAAAGAATTTTAAATGGATTATGTATGAGTTGTGTTAATCAATCAATGATTTTAAAATATCTAGTTCAGTTCAAAGTTTAATGGCGTAAGTAATTGAATTAATAATGATAATATTGTGTTTAAAATTGTGATTTATTTAATTTTATTAGTTAAATAATTTATGTTAATGTGCTGTTTTAATATTTTAAAGTTCTAAGAATTCAAGAATTTTTATAACTGTAATTGTTTGAGGTTATTTTGGGTTGAGGTCAAACTTGACTAAATTTAGAGAAAAATATACAAAATTATCTTAAGACTTGAATTGTATAAGTTCATTTATTAAGGATTTTAGAGAGATAAACCCTAGAGTTAAAGAAGATCTTTCTTTCTTCGAACTTAATATGAGTGCTCTAATCTTTTCCTAGAGCATAGATTTGAGTTACCAAGTTGAGATTCGAGGCTTGAGAATCGGAGGTTCAAAATTGTTGTACGACGAGAGCTTGGAGAGTCTCATTCTTCATTGTTGTTCCTACCTTTTCTCATTTCTAGAAGAATCGAGGTAAGAGAAGCTTGTAGATCAATCCTTATTGTGTTACATGTGTTGATTGTTTACTTGATTTGCCCATTTGTGGCTTTATTGTCGAATTGAGTAGTAAGAAACCCTTATTACATAGGTTTTTGGATGTCTAAGTTTTCTAAAAGAAGAATGAGTGACCTTGAATATTCTTGTTGTTGCATGTTGCTTAAATTTATGAAATTGAGCTATTGATGTTGTATAAATGTTGATTTGAAGATTTATATGTTGAGCTGTGTAGAGTAATGATTGAATGTGTTGAAAGAAGTTGAATTGTTTTAAGTTTATGAACATGTTCTTGAAGTATGACTATCTATTGGGTTTACTCACTTGGAGCATCCCTGTGATCGCTCAAGCGAGCTTGCTCGATCAATTCATGGTGATTTTTCACTTGACTCACTTGGAGCGCTCATTTGTTGCTCTAAGCAAATAAAATTCGCTTAGAGTGAGGCCTTACTCAATTAAGCAAGCGAATCACTTCTCCTAGGGTGCTATTTGTCTAAAATTGCTTAGACGAGTTGTGAGAACTTGGAGCAAATTTCGTTCCCTCAAAGTACACTCTTCATGGCTTGGAGTGAGTGTCTCTTGGAAACTTGTAACTTTTAAGCCATGTTGTCTCTAGATGTTATGTTGTGAATTCATGAGGGATGTTGTTGTGTAGTGTTGAGTTGTGAAATGCATGAGGCATGTTGTTGTATTGAATTATATTGATAAAATGTATGATGCATGTTTTTTAACTGTATTATTGAAATATCCCATGGTATGGATATGTATTGTGGTGCTTGGAGAGTCCAATTGTTGAAAATTGTTATGGATTGTTTTTTAGGTGAGACATATTCATTAAAGTGTTATGGATTGTTTTTGAGAAAATAGAAAAAGTATTGGATTGAGGTGAGGCATTTCTTCTTGGACACACACTTGTATAATTATATATTGTACTATTCGTACCGCTATGCCGAGCTTGAGCTCGACATCACAGCGCGGTTTTTCCTAAGAATGCACCAGGTCACCTATGCATTCTGACTCATTGCCAAGGTTATCGATGGCGGATAACGGTCTATGGCGGTGAGGCCAAAAATCCTTTATAACTCTATGGCGGATGCCATGGCGGCCTATGGCAGACGTCATGGCGGACAAAAAAAAATTCTTGCCCTTGCTATTGCAAAAATCATGTGGATTCAAACTTTACTGTTAGAGTTTCATGTTCGTCATTTCACACTTGTCATCTTTTATGATAATATGAGTATTGTTGCCTTAGCTCACAATCCTATTCTTCTTGCTCGAACCAAGCACATGGAGTTATACCTCTTCTTTGTTCATGAAAAGGTCACCGCTAAATTTATTCAAGTTGTTATTGTACTTGCACTTGATCAATGTGCTAACATCCTCACTAAAGCTTTGTCTCCAACTCATTTCTGTTAACTTTGAACTGGGCTTAAGTTGGTTGATTCACTTTCAATATTTCACCCCACTTGATCTTGCAAGGGGTATTGGAGTATATACCTTTACTTGTTATAGTAGTATAGCTTTATTCTCCGTTTTGTTATTTCTCATGTATTTTTTGATTACTTGTAACCTGTTCAGAAGGTTAGTTATTGTTTCTATAGCTTTTGCAAGAAGCTATTCTAACAACTATAAATACCACTTTGTATCTCCAATACATTAGGTTGAATAATAAATAGATCTATTTCTGACTCTATCTTTCTCTCTCATACATCTCTCTCAAATTTCAATACCTAGCATGACATTGGGGTGAGTGAAAATAGGCGTGAATCTTCTCCCACGAATAGCACAAACACATGCATCTAATAACACAAGTTAACATTTCATGCAAAATCAAGGATTGGAGCCAAGGAGAGCAACAATCAAGGTTATCGATGGCGAATAACGATCTATGGCGGTGAGGTCAGAAATCCTTTATAACTCTATGGCGGATGCCATGGCGGCCTATGGCGGACGTCATGGCGGACAAAAAAAAAATATTTATATATATATTATATAAAAAAAAAATAGCAAAACAATAAATAACAAGCAACAAAACTAAATTAAAACCAACATAATATCAACTTAAATACTTAAATATCATAACAACAATACCATAATTCATTGTCTCATAACATAATTGATTAAAACACAACAAAAAACATAGAAAAACAAGAGTACAAGAAGCATTTTGCTAATCTAATCATCCTCCTCATCATCATCATTCTCCTCCTCTTCCTCAATGTAATCATTCTCTTCATTGAATGCCAAAGGGGCATAGCCTTCAACTTCTTCACCTTCTGAATTGTCAAAGTTAATATTTGGAAATTCTTCCTCTAACTCCTCACTAATATCTTCTGAATCTTCTTCAACAACTTCAACAACTTTTCCTTTTCCTTTCCTAGTTGAAGAAGACACTCCTTTGGCTTTTTTAGATGATGCTCGTTCCCCACTTGAAGGTTGCTTCCTTTTGTTACGCCTAGTATACATTAGAGGCTCTCCAACCCCTGAAGCATCATAAACTTGATTCCAAGTAAGTGGATCATTTCCACCAAAAACCCTCTCATCTAGAGCTTCAACTTCATCATCATCATCCCCATCCATCTCTCCAACCAGCCATTCATTACATTCATCAATATCATTAAGGCTAATGGGATCAACTTCATCCTTAAGGTTGTATCTTCGCATGAGTGCTTGATTATACTTAACATAGACCAAGTCATGTAATTTTTTATGATCAAGCCTATTTCTTCTCTTAGTATGAATCTGCAACATTAAATTAAATAATTAAGTAAACATTTTAAAATATTTGGAACTAATAAGACTCTTCAAAAGCAAATTAATTACTTGCTCAAAGACGCTCCAATTACGTTCACAACCGGATGAACTACAAGTCAAGCTCAATATCTTTATGGCTAGTTGTTGTAAATTGGGGGTTGATGAACCATAAAGTCTCCACCATTGAGCTATAAAGTCAAAAGAAAGTATGTTAAATATGGAACAATTAGTAGAATAGAAGTTTGCAACTCAAGGTTTAGTTTCTAACCCGGTGAAACCTTTTTCCTCATTGCTATAGCAACTTCAGTCCCAAACAATTCTCCTGCAACTTTATAAGTGTGTAGCTCCATCATGATTTTTTGCTCCACTTGCAAATCTCCTACCAACTTATTCATGCTTGCATAAAACCCTCTTATAATCTCACTATCAAATTCCATTTGAGGGTTGTCATAATACATCTCTGGATTCAAAAAATGACCAGCTGCATGTAATGGGCGATGAAGCTGAACATCCCATCTTCTATCAACAATTTCAAACACGGCTTTATATTTAGTCTCATTGTTATTGAAAGACTTCATAATAGCCTCCTTTGCCTTATCCATAGCTTCATATATATAGCCCATAGCTGGCTTTTTCTCACTATCAACAAGTCTGAGTACTTTTACAAGAGGTGCCATGACTTTAAGTATGTACACTACATTCCTCCAAAAAGAAGGCATCAAAACAGTTTTACATACTTCTCTTCCTTTTGCTTCTATATAATTGGGTTGAATTTGCTTGACATCCCACCCATGAATTTAATTGGATAATCCTGGTAATGGGGAGAATATTATACAATCAACTACCCTAATTATATAAATGCAATTTAATTGTCAATTAAATTCATTCAAAAGGTCTTTTTTATTGTTTATTGATACTATTAGATTAATTGATGTTAATTGTAATATCGATTTATAAGTTAATTGAAATTACACGGTACTCTAAATTGGAATTGTTATTTGTTTTGAAATTCACTTCATGTCACTAGAATTGGAAGAAAAAACTTTTTATTTGTTCCTTGAATTGAATTCACATTGTGGCTAATATTTGTTGCTTGAACATAGTTACTTTTTTATGGGAGCAAGTGTTTTAATAAAAGTGTTATTGTGATATGGTTAGAATTTTGAATCGTTAGGCTTAAGTTGTGATTGATTTTTTTAATTGAATTAATGTATAATTATTATGTATTATATGACAACTAAAGTGGTATTGGCATGTTAAAGTTTTGTCTTTGCATGTAAATTTCAATTATGAATGACGTGAAATTAAGTTTGCTTTTGATTGAGTGCTCTTATTGGTTATTCACTCACTTTATTGTGTGATTTAAGTATTATTTTGCTACATGCATACTATAGAGAGTTGTTGGTGAAATTCTTTTTGTTGCTTTGTTACCTACTACTTGAATCTTGGATTGGATTTTGAAAATTAATTCATAAAATGAATCAATAAATAAGTAGTTAATTTTTTTTGTTGTTGTAAAACCCAGGTACTTATGAATGAATGCCTAATCGCTTGAGCAATTTATGTTTAAAATGTGTACTTTCCTTAACATTTTAAGGTTGTTGAATTTTATCTTTTACCACTACAGTGAATTTCAACATATTTATATACTTAAGATTTTAATATCAACATCTTTTTTCACTATCCATTGAAAACTTTAGAATATTGGAGTGAGTGATTGATAAAGGAAGACTTGCTTTCTCAACTTCAAAGGTTCATATAACGCATAAAGAACACATTAAAGATATATCTAATTATATCTTCAACAAGTAAGTGTATAATTTAAATTAGTATTCTGAATACATATAAACTTTGATCTTCTTTGCATGTTTTTTTTTTCCAATAAGCCCATAACATGAGTAATTAGTCTTAATTGGATTTTTCTTAAAGTAAGTAGTTTAAATAATTCAATCCTCGAAGATACATTTTATTAGTTTTGTAACAATTTTGTAAAATTATTAAATTTCATATTCACTTTAGTGTAATAAACTTCTCAAGCTTGATTAACCCACGTAGGAGGCGATTCTCATCCCAGGGCCAATATACCAATATTGTCAGCCATGTTCGATGGCCTTTGAGCAATTTTGACTATCCCAAATTGAAGAGCTGGACTAGAGAAATCATTTCCCTATGGCATGTTTGGGTAAACATTAGGGAATTAGTTTAATTAGGTGACTTCTTTGGATGGAGTTAACTGAACCTTCTCGATAAAGTTACATTTTTTTTTCTTGGCCTTTTGTATTTCATTATGGACCATTAGCCTTACTATATTGCTCAATTGCCTAGACAAGTGCAACATAATATCATGAACCCACATTTCCTTATGTTGTCTTGCCACTAAGGGAATACCCAAAGTAACCTCCATCATAGGACTTATGGCTGACTAGGTGGTCTTGTTTCTTCCTCACTATCCACATAATCCTACATCACATTTAGGAGGATATCTAGTCAATGTAGCTAATTCCTTAATGGTGTGTTTGGATGAGGAATTTACATAGAGTAATTCATTTATTTGAAGAATTTCAAATTCCTTGAGGTGAAATGCTTTGTTTGGATGAAGAATTTACAAAGAATTTGAAATCCAAACATTTGTGAAATTCCTTAAAATAGTAGAATTTCAAATTCTCCCAAAAATGGGAGAATTTGAAATTCCTCATATTTGTTTTTCTTATTTCACCTATATATTTTATCTTATCTCTTCATTCTTTTAATTATTAGATATTCAAAAATATTTTTAGAATTATTAAATATTATCTTATATTAATTTTTAAAATTATTAAATATTATCTAATATTAATTTTTTAAATTATTAAATATTTAAAAATGGATTAATATTTATTTTTATAAAGTTTAATTTAAAAATCTCAACATATAAATATATTTTTAAAATCAATTTTACTATGATGGAATCAAATTATCATATTCAACCTAACAATTTAAAATTTAAAAAATTTGAATTGACTCATCTAAACAAAATATTTTAAGAATGATAGAAATTGAAATCAAAGTAATTCAAATACCAAGAATTTAAAATTCCTTGAATTTATAAAATTTCTCATCCAAACACACTATAAGGATTCTAAATAGCAAGACTAAAATAACATTGGCAGATGATTGTAAAGATAACTACTAAAATTAAATAGGAAAAAAGGTTATAAAGAAAACTCATAAAGGAACGTTGGAAAGGAAACGATAAAGGATAACTATAAATAACTAGAAAATAAAAGCAAATTTCATTGATTTGGTCATGGACCTTGTTTATAACTTTGTTTTACAATTTATACCCTCTCAAACTTCAATCGTTTAAATCATTAATAGCCGCTTACTATCATACTTCTAAGGAAGGTGAATTTTATGCTCCAAAATATAGTAACTTCACTTAAAAAATTTTGCCCCTCTTAGGATCATTTTTCTTGCTCTTACATAAAAATGCTCAACAATATTTTGGATACCACATTCTTTGTCATTTTTCATTTTTTTTCCCGCCATTAGCCATTTCAATACTCATATAATTGTTGGTAGTTTCTTCATAAATAATCTTCTATATATTACACCATCTAATGAATTAACCATTTTGATGTTAATACCTACAACTTTTTTTTTAATGTATACAAGACAGACAAATAAAGGTAGAACATAAAATTTTGTGTATACTATTTTAACCTATTACTACTAAGTTGACTCTATTGATTTAAAATTAATCTTTAACTCCCTTTTGCAAAATTTGCTTAGTGCTTAAAAAAAATCATTGGCTATTTTATATTTGAGTTCAAATCAAACATCAAGTATTTTATACTTGTTCGTGCTCTTTTCAAAATACTTTTATTTTATAATTTAATTATTAAAAATGAAAATATTATGTGAGATGTAAGAACACAATCACACTGGCTATATTTTGGTGCCCTAATTGGAATGAGTAAATTATGTCGAGCTTAGCATGTCGAACGATTTTTATTTTTTATTTTTTGCGTGGTATTGACATAATTGTATTAAAGTGACAAATGTTAATTAGAGTTGTTTTGGTAATTAGCTTTGAAAGTTAAACTATTGGGGCGTCATATGCTCCAGAAAATATTTATCCATGTAAGTTGGGCTTCAACCCATGACCCAATAATATTTATGGGTCACAAGAAGCTGCTACACATACATAGCTGCTTTTGTCTTCTATCTGTCTTTTGCTCTCCAAGAAAAAAAAACTAAATACTTTATAGATAAATGTTTTATTTCATTAATAAATAAATTTTTTCATAAGCCAAAATTAGTTTATAAAAAACTAATTTGAAAACTTTTTTTTTATATTAAATTTTTAATTTATTTTTTAAATTTATACATAAGTTATGTTTAACTAATGAAAAAAATCAATTTTGTTTTTCTTTTCCTTTAAGTGCTGAGCAATTTACGTAAATCTGTGCAGCTTTAAATTATGAAATAAACCACTATGAAAACCAACGATAATTATTACATTAAAATACATGACAACATGTCTTCAATAGCTATAAAACCATTTGCTTAAATACGCTTGAGTGATATGTTTTACTAATTTTTTTATTTATCATAAAAACAATGAAAAATTCAAGTTTAAACTAAGACCATCTAATATTTATAAATTTTAGTAGAGTTATATTTTCTCATGTAAAGTATCAAACTAATGTATATTTTTATAATTAAATTACAAACTTGAAAATTAATCCTAATTTAAACTAATGCAACACAAACCAAAAAAAAAACTCTTAAAAATACACTAAACATATATAAAAATGTACAAGTAAAAAAAGTGATTAAAACAATATACTTCTATTCATATAAAATGACAATAAATACTTATAAAAAGTTAAGTTATAAAATCAAAATATTAATTCAATATAAATATACTACATATTTGTCTTTTAAGACCATAAAAAAGAAATAGATTGACAAACCGATCCCTTGAGTTAGTGAATTGGTAAATTTATTTATCTAACCTAATATACAAACATGTTAACTCACCAAATTTAACTCATGATATCATCTTTACTCTCCATTGTATTTTAATTTTTTTTCTTCATATACACAGATTGTCTTTCCTCATGCTAGTTTGTTATAAAGAAAAAATAATAATAATTTCCCATTATAAGTAAACGTTTGTTTCAATTTATTTCAAAAATCAATTATTTAACTTCCATAAAATTTTATATAAAAAAACATAAGTTTTCAAAACATTCCAAACTAAAAAATTAAATAGTAAATGTTGGAAACTGTTGTTACCGGAGATCGGTCGAGAAGGACGATCTGCTAGGCAATATTGGTGAGCTTTCCTTACTAGGTACGTCACCTGCTTCGAAGTGGGAATGGTACCTGCAAAAGAGATTCCGATACTAAAATTAGTGTTTGATAGTGTAATCGTCTCATATATATATATACCTTGATATGAATTAAGATTTTCCTCTTATGCAAGAATAACGTTAATTTGAGCCTGAAGTTATCCTCGACCCAATAGATAATGAACCTTTACTCTGATCGATGTCATATGACATATATATGATGTCATTTAGTACTTTAGTGCCGAACTCAAACTCGGCTTCTTGGATAGTACAGAAACATTTTTGTGAGTAATTTAATTGTAGTAGCAAGTTGTTTGATCGAAGAAAGGAGGCAAATTAAAAAGGGTTGGTTTGGAATTTGGAAGTTGGAAGAGAACATGTCATCCAACCGTAAGAGCAGTGTCAGCAGCAGAAGTGGTACACGTGGCATGATGGGTTTCCATTTACGTGTCAAGTATGCAGGACAAGACCAATTTCGTAAGACCAATCAAAACCTCAGAGGACACTCTGCACGCCCACTTCTAAAAGGTTTAAGAATGCCACTCAATTGAACCACCAGAATTTGATGGCTTCGGCCCCACATCGATATCATGTTTTCGCACGCTCAAAGTCAATTCAACCTTCCAAGGTAACCCACTACCCACTTATAGAGCTGTCAAAACGGGCTATCCGGCCCGGTCTGGCCCGACCTACTACGAGTTGGCTATTTGGTGGGCTAACCCAACTCGACTCATTTATCAGTGAGCTCAAAAAAATCGAATCTGGCCCGGCCCACCACGGGTTGGTGGGTTAAACGGGTTGGCTCACCTTTAAAAAAAATAAGTTTTTTTCATTTTTTTTCTTCTTAATATACAATTAAAGCCCAAAAATTTAAACTTATTTTAAAAATCTGAGATTCTTAATTAAGACATCCATAAATGAATCATTCATCCTAAACATTAAATGATAATTTTAAATACAATTAAATCAAATCTAAATAATCTCAAATAGATAAATATAATCTAAAATCATCTTAAACTTCAAATATAATCCAAAATCATCTTAAACTTCAAATACAATCCAAAATCATAAAAATTACAAATCACAATCCAACATTAAATTATTATTGTCTCATGTTAGACTGCACCATGACCTAATAATTATTGTATTTTTAAAATAAAAAAAAATTAATCACGGGTTGGTGAGCCAGCCCGGCTCACCACGGGTTCAACCCGGGTGAGCCGGGTTGTTAGTGAGCCGGGTTCAAATTTGACCCGCATTGAAATTTTCAATTTTTTTTTAACCCAACCCGGCTCGAACCCGTGGTGAGCCGGGTTAGCTCACCGGGCCAAACCCATTTTGACAGCTCTACCCACTTACACAAACTTCATTTTCAAAACCCCACATTTATTTTTATACAATAACTCAACCCCATGTTTCAATGCTAACTAATCTTATTTCTCTACCATAATTAAAGAGATTAACTATATAAAACCTTTTAACTTTTGAGGAAAAACAAACTATTCGTTGTAATAATATAAAATTTATTTTCTTTAATATGATCTAAAATTGCTACAAGTTTTTTTGTCATAAGAAAAGCTTGACAGTCTGACGTACAACCTTCACCCAACTTATCTTAATTTTGATTTTAATTATAGTCACACATTTTTCAAGTTCTACCATGCAAAGGATACTAGTGTGAGCGCACATACGTTAGTGTCTAATAGCAAATTCCTTTGACCAAATAAACTGAAATTGTTGAAGATCCTTAAATAGAATTAGTGACATTTACTAGTATTATTTATTAATTACTTGTTTTTTTTTTAATTCTAGTTGAGATCTGCCAACATTTTGTAACTATATAATAGTATTGCTCATGATTTTTTCGGCACATAGAATTACTTACCCATCATTCAATAACATGTCATCATTCATATAGAAAACTTTGCCTGTTATAACAATGGTATAGAAAGACAAACTTTTTTAAGAGACGTGACAATAATAATTAGATGATAACCTAAAGAAAGTTAGGCACCGGTGATAAATTAAGATTAAAGTATTTAACCTATACTATTATTAATTTTTTTTGAGTAACTAATATAGGAGTCATAAATGCCCAATTCCTTAATGTGAGGAAATAGGCAACTTTGGATGCGAAAAACTAGAAATTGTTTTAATGCAATACCAAAAACTTTTAACTAGGAAGAATCAATGCCATTATTTACTCACAACTCAACAGACTTTAAGAACTCTCACATGGGAAAGTCTGTATCCAGCCATCTAAGTGGTGCGTTACTTTATGTTTCTTAACTCCACAAAGCTGAAGAACAGTTTGTGGAAGAGAATAGAAAACCAACAAAAAATTTCTTGTGCCCATTTTTGTAATCAGCAACCCCACCACATGTTGGATTCATTTGTAATTTTTTAAGGCAGGGAACAATATGAAAGCTCAAATTCTTTTTGGGAGTGGGAGGTGTGAGGTGGGTCTTGCAGAGTTTCACTAATCATGTTTACCTTTTCCTTCACTTGCTCTCATCAATTCTGGCCTCAACACACCACCACACTCCAAACCCACCTCCCAAAACAATCAAAAACTATTTCCAAAAGTGAAAAAGGAAAACTTGATGTTGTTGGTGCCACTCATGAGGCTTTCCCCTTTCCTTCTCCTCCTTCTTGTTCTCTTGTTCAATTATGCCTTTTCTGAGTCTGGTGTTGGTGTTGGATACCAACTCATGGTGGCAGTTCCTGTGGAGTATGACATGAGTTTCAAAGGGAGGGCTTTTCTTGTGGAGACCAATCAGACTGCACCAAATTTCAGAGTGGCATTGAGCATTGAAGCCATCAATGGGAAATACTCGTGCTCATTGGAGGTTTTCCTTGGGGATGTGAAGGTGTGGGATTCTGGACATTACTCCAGGTTTTATACCACTGAGAAGTGCTTGCTAGAGCTCACAATGGATGGGGATTTAAGGCTGAAAGGTCCTAAAGAAAGAGTGGGATGGAAGACTGGAACTTCTGGACAAGGTGTGAAGGTAAAAACTATGACAGTATGACACTATGCATACCAATGGTGTTACCTTTGACATGTAAGAATGCATATATATATATAGTCATTGGATAATGATATTTACATAAATTATCAATTCACATAATTCTCACAAAATAAATGAATGAGAGGTACATAAGTTTTATTTTTTTTTTTATTTTTTTTAACTGTGTGCAAAATCTAGTCTTTAACCGAACAGAATGGTGTCTTGTTATACATATAGAGCATGTTTGGATGCAAGTCATTTTTGATTGGACGTGGTTCACTAGAAGCAACGATATTAGTTGCTTTTGCATCAATTTTGATGTGAATTTACTTAAAAGTGAATCATGGATGTGGAACCAAACATTCACACAGTTGACCTCACCTGGTGGGAAAAGACTTTTGCTATTGTTTGTTTGTGAGGAAAGAAAAGGTGTGTCACTATTGTTCATAGACAATTAAGCTGAATTGCATGGAATCTAACACATTATTTGCTGCATTGAATCACTTTGAAGCAGAGATTGCAGATACTGAGGACAGGCAATCTGGTGCTTGTAGATGCACTTTACAATATAAAGTGGCAGAGTTTCAATTTTCCAACGGATGTGATGCTGAGGGGTCAGCAACTTGATGTGGCAACTCGCTTGACATCTTCCCAAAGCAACTCAAGCTTGTTCTACTACTCTTTTGAAATTGAGAACAAGAAGGTTGCTATGTACTTGAACTATGGTAAATTGAGGTATTCTTACTGGGGGTTTCAGCCTTCTATGAATCGAAGTATTACATATGTTAAGCTGAGTTCAAGAGGGTTGGTGTTGTTTGATGTCAAATACAAGAAAATAGCACAAATTCCAGCTAAAGGGATTCACCCACTGAGATTTCTAGCACTGAAGAATGAAACAGGAAACTTAGGCCTCTATTACTACTCACCTGAGAAAGGAAACTTTGTGGCCTCTTTTCAAGCACTAAACAGCACATGTGATCTTCCAATTGCTTGTAGACCTTATGGCATATGCACATTCTCCAATTCCTGCTCATGTATTCAGCTTTGGACAAATGAAATCAAGGCTGGTGCTGGTTGCAGTGGGGGGGTTTCAGGAGGGTTTTGCAATGGTAAAGAGGCAGAAATGCTGGAACTAGATAATGTAAGTAGTGTGCTTAAAAATGTTCCTAAAATGGTCAATATTAGCCAAAAAGCATGTGCAAATTTGTGCTTAAAGGATTGTAAATGTGCTGCTGCATTGTATTTTGGGAATGCAAGCACAGGTGTGGCAGAATGTTATCTTTATAGAGTAGTGTTGGGTCTAAGACAGGTAGATAAAAGCACAGGATTTAGTTATATGGTTAAGGTCCCAAAGGGTACTGGTAAAAACCATGAGAGACATAGTGTGAAAAAATGGGTGTTGGTTTTGGCAGGAGGAGTTGATGGACTCATACTTCTACTTCTTGTTGGAGGGTTTGGTTACTGGTTGGTTAAAAGGAGAAGTCATAACTTGCATTCTCAAGCCAGCACTACATGATCTGTCGAGTAAAGCCTGGCCAGGTTTAATGTCTGAGTTCATAAGTGAAAAAACAAAATTAGAGGAATCATTCATTGAAACATGTAAACACAATTTTGGTTGATTTCAGGAGAATGACATCATAGATCATCCAAGTGAAGTGAATTTTTTTATGACAAAATGCTGCATATTTGCAGCATATAGAAAATTTGTTTTTCAATGATGGAAATAGATGTGAACTTTTGAAATGTCGATTTCTGAAGTTAAAGTATACATGTTTGGTTTCTTCATGAATCATGTTTCTGATTGTGCATCATTTAACTAGTTAATTATCTTGTGGTTATTAGACCTAGTGATTAATTTCATCAATGAAAGATAATACCTCTAAGTATTAATGGCAGACATCTGTTTAGGTTGAGATATGAGAGGATCTCCCTTGTTTGTTTTCCATCTCAAATTGTAAGTTCATGATTTGGACCTGGGCTCAAGGTTGATTTCTTTCTTTCTTTTTTTCTTTTTAATTCTTTTACAAAAAAAAAAAGTATTTCTCTTTTAGAATTCCTTCCCACGAAAGCAAAGCATGTATTACAATCACTAATCCCTGAAATCGGAAGGTCTTGCTCATTTATGTCTCATTGATATGGTATCTAACAATTGCAGTAAATGTTTGATATTTTAGGATTTCAATTCATTACCTGGCCCATGTGATTTATTAAATAGTTACTTCTAAAGGTGCACCTTGCAAGGTTGTTCTATTATTATGTAGGGGTATCTCATAATAGTCACGAGGTGGTTCAAATGTCTTGCAAGAACCGGTGTTATTAGTCATACTTCAAAGAGAACATAATCGTATGAAAGTTAAACATTTATGGGAACTGCTATGGTCATTGGATCAAGGAAATCTAATCTTTCCACCATTACATAACCAATGATGGTTATAATTAGGTATCCCTGACTATCAAAATTTCAGAATCAGGTAAGAAATATAATGGAGGACATTAGCTAAAATGAGAAATGCATTAATCCTACCTTAATACAATATTTCAATTTCTTTGAAACACAATAAAAGGGAAGTCTAGTCTCTAATTATCATTTATCACGTTGAAGAGATACAAATAGTAATATGGTTCAAACATTTTATTATTATTAGCAACCAAATCTGCTGTTATATGCATGGTAAGAGCAGGTCTTATATTAATATCTCTTACTCAAGGTTTAAGTCTTATATTCTGTGATAATTAAACACTAATTCTATCTACTAAGATCACTGCAATGCTTATAGCCAATGCATGTAAATGAACACAAAACCAGTAGTTAATGTAAACTTTATTTGAATACAAGTTTAAAACAAGTTTTTTGTTTTTTTTTAGAATTTCTCTACTAAAAATAAAAGGTTTTTTCTAGTAGAAAAGTTTAGAAGTTCAAAAAAAAAAAAAAATTCTAAAAAAACCACACTTGTAAACTTATACCCAAACAAGTTCATAGCCATTAATTCATAAACGACTCACCTACTAACAAACAACCGCAAATAAGTCTAAATCCTCCTACAACATCTTCATACAAATCCCTGAAAGAATTGAATGCAATTTATATTTTCAAGATGTTAAATTCATTCACTTAGACCATTATTAATTTAGGAAGATATAACATTACTCATCCATTGACTTCTGATCTCCTACAAAAGCATATAATTCCAAATGACTAGTTCTTAGACCTACTGAACAAGTTCTAAAAAATGGTATACAACCAAGATTTCGGCCATAACATCGCACAATGTCAAACATCACGACGCGGTGACCACGACATCAATTCAACAACACGCAATGTTCATATAACAAAACAGTTTGCAATGCTCTCTCATCTCATTTCCAAACAGAACAAGCTTAAATAAACTCCTACAATGAAAGATATTTACTGAATATAAGTTATGGTCTCTTACTCTCTTAGTAAGCTAGTGTCCAAAGGTAGCCATGAAATGGGAAAAAAAATATATTTGAAGATACGATGAAGACATGTAGTTATTGACACTTGACAGCAATAGAACAACATGAATAGCAGCTAGTTAGAACGCTAGAGTGGCTATTTAAATTTATATACATTGGGTGAGTCAACAGCCAAAAAAAGCACTCGGTTGTACTGTGCTTACGAATACTATATATGACTATAGAAGGAAGTTAAGAAAAATCTGAAAACCAACCCTAGTGAGAAACAATGAATATGTATTTACGTTTTCCAGCTAACACGAAAACTACTTCACCAAACTTTTGTTGTATGAATCACTTCTTATTTATGCTCTCAAGTAATTAATCATTAGCTTTTCTGTGATGATGATACAATCATAAGCTCTCTGATTGGTGGTGCTGAGAAAAGTTAAAGGTGCAGTTGCAACCTAATTAGAGGTACTAGTGTAGTATCCTAGTACTGATGCAGGAAACTGTACTTGCAGTATTTTGGTACAAGTGAAAGCGTAAATAGAAATAACAAAAGAAGAGAGAAATAGATGAAAAGTAAAATGAAATTTAATACTATTTGAATTTAGAGGTTATAAAAAAATAAGTATACAAAACTAATTTTTAAATAAAAAATAATTTAAATATATTTTTAGTCTATTAAATATAAGATAAATTTATTTTTTTCTCTATAAAAAAATTGAGTTTTTAGCCCGAAAAAATAAAAATCCTATATTACTTTTTTAATTTAAATGTTATGAGTAGATCTATCAAATAAAACATAAAACTCAATATTACTGAATTTGTCAAATAAAATTTATATATATATATATATATATATATATTAATATTTGTGTTAGTAAAAAATTATATTATATTTAACTAATGATGTATAATTATCTCAATTAATTATTATCAATTATGTTATTGGTAGTTTTGGAGAACTAAAATAAATTTATTTAAAATTATTAACACCAAAAAAGTTAATTTAAAATATAAGATAATTAACTCGTAATCAATCAACTATTGTACAAACAAAAATGGACTTCCGTGCTAATGTATATGGCATTGATAATCAATTACAATTTCCGATAATCGGTTTATATCAACGAGAAACATGGTAATCAACGAGAAACAATTAAAACACTTTTTTTTTCTTCTCTTTCTTTCTATTTCCGATTACCAAACTTGATAATTTTATTATCTCTCTTCTACTTTTCTTCTCCTTTATTTTTAGAGTTAATTATTTATATACTGACAAAATTTTTTTTACACTGGCAACCAATTATATCTTTTAATTATGCTATGTCACTGTTAAAAATAAATGTGTTTACAGTGACATGACACAATTAAAAGATATAATTAGTTGTCAGTGTAAAAAAACTTTACACTGACAGTGTTTATGTGATTAACTCTTATTTTTATCCTCATAAAAATGAAATTAGTTTATCTTATCTTTATAAAATTAATTCATATGATAAAATAAACATATGTAGATAGTTCGATAACAAATGATACAATAGGTCTAACAACAATCAATAATCTATCAAATTAAGAAAATAGTTAATTAAGTTAATTTATAATAATAAATTTATTTTATTTTTATAATTTATTCAAAATTACCATTGTACTACTTTCTTTTAATAAATACTTATATCTCTCCTAACCAATTAAAGTGACTTGTTTAATGAGTTTTGAAGCTTGTGGTCAATTATTAATTATCAAATATGTGTATATCTTCTATTTATTTTAGACAATATCTAAGCATATTATGCTTTTGAGTCATGTCCTTATCAAAAATAAATATTAAAAATTAGACAAAAGAAAGGAAAAATTTGAAGGAAGAAGAAGCCAGTTGGTCAAATATGTTCAAAGCAAGCTATTTTAGTCACTTTGAGTAAGGCAAGACCTACAATCAAAGTAAGGGAACACGTGCATAAAGTAAGTAAGACAATTCGTCCAAAGAAACAATGATTAGGTGCCTAAAGCGACATACTTGCTCAAAATGAGTCACCTTAGTCGCTTTGAGCAAGTCAATTCAAGAAAGTAACATAGAATATGAAGAAGATCACACTTTGACATAGAAGAAAACACTTTCATATATTTTGTATTTTAAGCTATATTAGATAAAGGAAAGTGAGAAACGAGAGTGTTCACAAAGTTCTTTAAGATATTTTTTGTTTCTTTTGTGTGATCTCATTAGTCATGAATGACTATTTCACCTATGTTGGGATTTGACGTAGTTGACTATACTTCATGTAATTATTCATGTTATTCAATTGCATTTTTATTCATTTAATTATTGTTGTTGTTATTCTTCTTTTAATGCATGTTTTTGATTTGATAACCTTCTGCATGATCTCATAAAATTAATCAAAATTGGAAAATATTTTTAAAACTACGATCTGGAAAAACAATACTAATAGTACTTATTATTATAAATGATAATAACTATTAGTCAATGTTTAGGCATTTGATCTTAATGCAAGTTGCTTAATTAATTTGATAAGGAAATGAGTTTTCATGAAGGAACTTAAAATTTCTTATCTATGAAATTAGGATTAAAATATTTTTTATTGGTTGTTGAATTAATTTAATAATAACTGAAATTAAATAATAATTGGAAAGGAAACATGTGAAGAAGGTTTATATATTTTTTTTTGTTCGTTCCTGGAGTATCCACGAGGCACCTCAAAGGATGGGATAACTGGGCCCCAAGATTTAACGCGGTTGCATACACAAGGCAGGATTCGAACCCCTGACCTTTCTTAAGCGTGGATCAACCCCTACCGCTAAACCATACGATTGGGGTTAATTTATTTTCTGATATTGAAACCTTAAAACTTATCTATATAATTTTATGCAATTTTTTAAACTTAATCTTTTATTCACTTGCCCTAATTAATATTAAATTAGATTAATTAATTGTTACACAAGCTTATGTAAATTTAATATTTGATCTTTTGTTTATTTTACTACTTACGATAATCAGTACACTTATCAATAGTCTAATATAAATTCATGTATGATTCTTATGTTAGAATTTTTCTTTTAATGTAGAGTCAAACAATTTATAGTCGATCAATGTAGGATACTTAGTCATGTGAAAGTCAATAGTATGTTCCAAATTTGTAGAGCGAAAACATTATTATTATAAATCATTGAACTCATACTTCTTAAAGAATTATTGTTTTAAATGACACTTTTAATTAATATATATATATATATATATATATATATATATATATATATAATTATAATTTTAAACAAATTATCCTATATGTCTTTCAACATTTTTATGTTTGATATGATTATTTTTCTTTTTTGACACCATGTATGATATTTTTTTAGGAGTATTTTCCGTTAAACGTGGAGATAATCTCCTTTAGAAGTTTTCAGGTATTAAATAGATAGATATTTTCTCTCGTTTGAATTTTTTTGTATTTAAAAGAGTTCCTTAAATGTTGATAGACACTAAATAAATGGACATTTTCTCTTAATTTAAATTTTCTACATTCGCAAGAGTCAAAATTTAAATTTTAACTACTTAATTAAATGATATGAGTCACGCTAACTCAAGTTAATTACACTATGTATGATATGATTATTAAAAAAAAATGAGGGTACGTACAAATTAAATTACAGGGGAGAGCTTAAACAGAATTATCCATCATTTTGGGTATTCATTTCTTCAAAATGGATTATAAAACTCATTAGCAATGGTGACTCTGGGGAAGTTTAGTTGTTTGGATAGCGTTTACTTTTCGGCACTTGTGAGTACTAATTAATTGTCATCACATGGAAGGAACCTATAGTGACACATGTAAACTGTTTTATCTTTTGTTTTATAGATTTGTTATTTACTTTTTGGATTGAAGTATCGTGCATAATGTTAACAATATTTTATTTGTTTTTATATATAGAAAAAAATTTGCATCGTTAATTGAATAAATCCTTTAATTAGTACTCTTCACAATTGTATGATTTAGGTATTAGGTATTTTAATATTTAAATGTTTTAAAATTTCCCAATCAATTTTTAACTTTATAAAAATTCGTTTTCTTAGTATTATTTTATACTAAAACGGATTGAATTAATAACAGTTACTTCACTAAATTTAGAACTAACAAAAGAAATTTAAACTTTTAAAGATTAAAATGTCTGACTCATATGATCTTAATTAAAAGACAAAGTTGAAAATTGCTCACTTTAATTTCACTAACTTGCCTGAATTCTCTCATTTTCTTCATCCAATATAGTACGTTCAAATATTTGTATTCATTGGGAAAAAAAAACCCTTAATATTTTCCCTTATATATCCCTTGTAATTAACATTCATTTTACACACATTTATTTAATTTTACTACATTGAATTTAATTTTCATAAAATGTAAATTTTTAATTAATTAAAAATCATTTAGTATATATCTTTTAATTTATTTATTATAAAAGTTAAGAAGTTTTATTTATTAATTATTTTTGGTACAGAAACTTTATGTGATTGAGTGAGATTAATGTCAATTCTCAAGGTATTCTAATTAAATCTTACTAATTATTGTCCTAAAAGTAATAGTTAAAGAATTGATAAATAAAAAAATACAGTAAGACTTATTTTAGTATTATAAAATATGTGATTTTTAATAGTGATTCTGATAAATATTTTTCTTTATTTTATATATATATTTTAATTTATAAATATTATTTTTATCCTCATAAAATATGTATTTTTTATTTTAGTTTTTATTTATTTATTTTTATCTTTAAAAATTTAAGTTGATATTTTTTATCTTTAGAGGTATCACTGGTCAACATAGCGTGACATATTATGAATATTATATGAGATAGTCCTTAACATTTTAATAATAACATATATAAGTAATTAAAAAAGTCACAAAATAGTAAGGACTAGAAATAGTAATTTCAAATTTGAGAGAGATAAAAAATAAGGAATTTTTTTTTATAATAATCAAAATCAAAACTTTTACATTTTACAAAGATTAAAAATATGTTTAAATTTATATTAAAAATCTTATAAATATTGATAATATTAAATGTAAGTCTTTTTTGTAACCAAATGTAATATTCTCTTCAACCCATAATAAATATTATCCCAAGTTATATTATACAGTAAAAAAAACTAATAAATATATAGAAAGAATAATAATTTTACAAATTTAACTTTATGATTTATTTTTTTTACAAGAAATGATGTAATATAATAACTATTTTTAAAAATATTATGAGGGGTATAAATAAAAAAATGGTAATTAATTAATACTAAATTGAAGAATTAACATGATACTTATTTTAGAACTTTTTTTTCCTTCAAACACAACACTATCATTATAAGACAAAATGAAGTACAAGTACTTTTTAGGATTATATAAGTTTTTTAGTTTTTGAATTTTTTTTTCTAGTGCATGAACTATTATTATTATTTTTACTAATTTTAATTTAAACTTTTGCCAATATCATTTTTAGTCCTCTAAATTTTCTTTCCATTAATATATTGGTTCCTAAGGTCAATTTTTTTTGTTTATGATTTTTTTAAAGTCTAAAATTAAATAAATTTTGTTCAGAAACTAGAAAAAAATTGATAAAACATACTTTTTAATACTACAACTTTTATTTGTTAATTTATTATCCATTATATATCCTTCATAATTAAGAAAACTGTTTTAGAAATTATTCTTGCACAAGTTTCAGGAAACTGTTTTTATCCATGGATGTTTTTCACTAATTAAATCTATAATAACATAACATGCAATAATATTTCTTCTGCCAATAGGGCATTTTTTGTCTATTGTCTTCCCACCCACTGAATGCCAAAATGCCACTATATATATATCAACTTGGACGATGCATGTCCATTCATTCATTTCCCACTATCCAAGAAGATCGATGTTGATAAGCCATATCAATATGTAAGGGTCATTGAAGAGGTACCTCATGGGGTTTTGGCAGAACATGCAATCACAAATTTCTTTCAGTTCATGTGCAAATTTTAATCTTAAACAAGACAAAAACGCTTCTGAATTTTCTTCTTCTTTTTTTTTTTTTGTTCTAATCCGTGTGCTTCCTTTAATTAGTTCGCGTTCTTGATTGCTCGCAACACTGCTTGCTTTACCACTTGCGCGTCAACACTGTCGTTCTTGTGACTCTGCAAATTAAATAACCTCTTGTCAAAGTTTAGATGCAAAATTATAATCATTAGAGAGTATTGTTGGCTGCATCGTATTTTATATATACTAAGAATATTACTATGCCATGTGACAAGATGTAACTATAATGAAGTTTTACACCTTTTTTATAATCATATTATATTATAAGTGAAAAATATTTACTAACTTTGCTAATAAAAACTTGATTGAACCGTTATATAGACTTTATTGTCGCATTACATAGACAAAGCAACTACAAAATAGGTAAAGGAACTCACATATAAGGTGGAGTTTTAACTGCTTTTTTAACAAAACTGAAATTGTTGTTGTTGGGAACAGTGTTTTAATTCGAAGCTAACATTTTCAAAATGTGTCTTTCATATAAAACTCGTGAAAAAGTCTTGTAATGTCCTCCCTCCGGAAAATTCTTTCTCTATAAGCATATATAGCACACTAATTATGTAACTTGGAGCCCCAGAACCGTAAAAGAATTTATCACCAAAATTTTACAGCTTAGTCGTGTACTTCTAATTTGTATGAATGTATATATTTGGATTTGGCTTGCAGCTAGATAGGATATAAAATCAGAAACTCTTGCATAAGTTTCTGAATATAAGGAAAGAGCTGTGAACTAGTCAATTTTATAGATGCATTTAAAGGAGAATAATTAAAGGGATTATGGTAGAAATCATTTGTAGAGTTTTATTAATATTAAATTTATTTGGATATAAGTTAAAAAGGATTTTTGAGAATTTTTCTATTGAAAAATCACTAGAATTTTTTTTTTAAAAAATACTTATAACTTGTCTAAACAAATTCTTTATCTTACTTCTTTTCCAACAGCTTCTAGCTGGAAACTGTCTTCACAAGAAACCCTAGCATCAAGCACATCAAGGCCCAGTTCTTCGAAGGCTTCGAGTATAGAGACGAGCATACCGGGGCAATTCTTTTCCAAAACCACATTAATGAGGAAACCCTTTTTTAGGGTTTTCACTATTACCTGCAAATATTTTTAATAAGATGTATCAATAATATGAATTGTGCTAACTCAGGGAAAGTTTTATCACACATGATAACTTTATTCAACTTAAGTCGATTAATTAAATGTTTAATATATGATCTTAGACCCCCATAAAAATTAGAACAAAATACAGCAACAAGATTAATAAGCACCATAGGTAGTTCATCAATTTGAGATGTTGATGATGATGATTCAGCGATCCCCAACTCTGAGTTGAGTCCCTCCACCTTTTGTTTCAATTCCTCTATGTATTTTGAGGCATCTACAATAATTGAGGCTTTGTTCAGCTGCAAAAATTAACAAAGAAACGATTAATTAGATCAAATACTAATTAAAAAGCTTTGATTCAAGATGAAGCAGAAGCATGAGCTTCATCTGTAATAAACATCAATATATAGAAAGATCGATGTATATAAAACAAATTACAGAAGTGGAGTTTGTAACATCGCGAAGTTGTTGCAACGTGTGTTGCAGTGCTGCTCTTCTTTTCTCCCTAGAATCCATGCTTCTTCTGCTACCTTCTTATCACTTTTGTCTAGATTTTGAATTCGATTTTGATTTTTGATTTTCTCTCCCTTTTTGTTGTCTCTGTGCCCTACCTTTTCCATTTGTGGCTTAGAGGTTTCCCTTTTTTATAGAATTGGCTGTGCAAATTAACAAAAAATATATATAAATCAGTTGTTTGTTTGCATGACGACTACCTAAATATTCCCCACACCAAATTATGCTTTTACAAGATTGACCTCATCATTTTAATACACAAAACACTAATAAATAAAAATTATAAATGAGACATACAATTATAAGTGAATGGTTACGATTATAAATGAATACGGATTTTTAATTTTAATAGTTTATGTATGATTATGTGTCATTTATATTAAAAGTATAAGTAATTAGTACGAGTGAAGTAACACTTGTGTTTTTTAATTAAATATTGAAATTCAATTCTTAATTTAAATTATATTATAGATTAAAACTATAAATGAGTGATTGTCCTATTTCACTTGCCCTTCAAAGCAATGCAAAGTGATATTACTCTTCAGATTATTTCTTATTTTTCTGTACCTTTAATTTCCTTACAAAGCCACCATTCACACGAGAAAAAAATACAATATATATATATATACTAACTGTTTTTAATTAAAAGGGTGTTGATAGTACTCCTTGTACACATTAATTAACAAAAATGATTTTCCTAAAAAAAAATGAACAAAAACAGTTTTTGGGCTCTCATATGCTATTTGGCACCTAGAGAGAGAAGGAAAAGGAAAAAAAATTGTATATAAATGTGCTAGGTGATATAATACTATATATAGAAAAGAAAATAAAATAAAATGGAGAACGTGATTAATTAAGTGTTTAAAAAATTTGAATGAACAAATATGATCAATAATTAAGCCCACCCCAAATTTGGTTTGTGTATGTTAACAGTTTAACACAGCAAAGACTTGTGAAGGGAAAGATGTGAAAGGGTATTTGAGTGAAAACATGACAAATTTATGAAAACATTGAGAGAGAGAGAGAGAGGAAAGGAGTCCCGTGAACGAAGTGCTTGTAAGAATTGACAGCTAAACTAGCTTCGACAGAACACATCCTTGCCGTGTTTGGATGCTTATTATTATCATTGAATAATGGAATCCCCTTCAGCTTTCATGGATTCATTTAATCACACCCACATTAATTCAACACCATGCATGTCTCAAATCTTATTCAATTCCGATCCCTACCCACAACAAAGACATTCATTCTCTTCTTGCACGTGTGCCCTTCCTCTCGTGACCTTTTTCTCTTACCTTTTCTTTTTTATTTTTTCACTCCTGTTAAATACTTCCCTTAAAAATGTTCTGCAACATGTGACGGGCTGCCTCTAATAACCTTGACCAGGGATCACAACGGGATGAATTGGGGATCAACTTCTTTATTTTCATGTCCACTATTCCATTCTTGCTAGGTTGGTTTTATTTTTTGTTTATGAACATGGTTTGCACAGTATTTCGAAGATAATAATTAAAAACTAATTTATATTGTGAGACGTGATTTTACTAACTAAACATTATTTTGTTAGGTCTGTTTAATAAGAAAGAAAGAAATAAAATGAAAAAATAAAATAAGAGAAAATTAAAGAAGAAAGAAATATGTGAGAAATATATAAAGTGAAATGTTGGATTGTTCTATTTAAGAAAAATAAAAAGGAGAAAGAAAAATATTGTGAAGTCATTTGATTTGAATGGAAAAAGAGAAAAGAAATTATAAAAATAATTAAATTTCATTTTTTTCCCTTAACGAATATAATTCACTCGCAAATGAGTACTGTTGACACCATTTTAATTGATTATACAGGTGAGACATCTTTGAGAACGAATTTAAAAGGAACAGAGTTATATATAATGAATTAAAACTCGATTCCATTTCCATTAGAATTAGGGAAACTCGATCACATAAAATAATTAAACTTGTCCACCCTTTTGTAAAAATTTTATGTGTATAACTTCAAATAATTCATATACTAAATTATTGATTTTATTTTAATTCAATAATATATAAAATTAATTTAATAAAATGAATCATCGAATAAAATTTTAAATATATTTTTAATAAATTGTGTAATTTTGATTTTATTATATATAATTTAAATTATTTAATTATTATAATATTTATTTATATGTTAATAAAAAATATTAGCATCCTACTAACAATGAAAAAAAATTATTTATAATTTTGATCTCATAAAATAAACGCACAAGTTTTTTTATTCTTCCCTCTCCCTTTCAATGGTAAAAAACAACCCCGCATGAGTAAACATTCCTAGGTAATTCTGTAGTCTCATTCCCGTTCCATCAAATATTGCAGCATTCTCGCATGCATGTCCACCAGTGTTGAACTATCTGCTATTAGCTGATATCATAGGCATAATGTATATCAGGAAAGTCTGATTTCCTTTTCTGTTTTTGTTTTTTGTTTTTTTTATACTTTTTTATTATTATTAATAACAATAAATAAATAAATAAAGTTATTGCAGCACTTGCTTGGAGGGTATTGTTGATCTCGGGGCAAGCAGACAAGAGTTAACTTGTAATCAGTGTTTTAAAACCCGGACCGACCCGGCCGGTCGGACCGGCTGGACCGAGAACCGGTGGTCCAGCTGGTCCGAATCTTAAGTTGGATCGGTTATGCATTCAACCCATTTCAAACTAGATTGAACCGGTTAATTTTCTAGTTCGACCAGTGAACCGG